TCCTGCTATTAGCAAATACTATTTAATTTTTGCAACCACAATTACAAAATGGCTGTGATTTTAAAAAGCAGTGCCTAGACAGCAATCAAAGGATTTCACTTCCTTTGTCCCAACTCTCTACCAATCTGCCCTTGGCATTGGACCTATAACTCTCCTCTAGGAGCTGATGTACTCTCAAGAACTTGTTTCAGTTTTCCACATTTGTCTATTGATATACCCATAAAGACAGTCTTAGAAGATCAGTCTCTCTCTCTCTCTCTCTCTCTCTCTCTCTCTCTCTCTCCTTCTCCTCTCCTCTAGGAGGGGAGTTCCTAGTACTTAGGAACCACTGACAACTCTTTGTTTAAGTTAATCATTTATTCACAGTTTCTTAGTGCCTGTGATATTTGTTTATACTTTCATTTACATATTCATTTAACACGCTTTTGTTATCTTCTCAGGTTTCTCTTGTCTGTCTGTATTCTAATACTACAAAGCCTCCAGGATAAACCCTTCAATGGAACCTCTTCATTTCTAGATAACAAAGTGCTTTCCAGATAATATTTTGGGTATGTGATATAGAGACATACAAGTATTAAATCTGACTATGTATAACCACAATAGTACATTTTAAATACTGCTTATGAAAAATAAGCAAATAAGTTTTTTCATTTCCCAAGATAATTATGTCCATTTGAATTAATATATGCAATGAGCAAACCCTGTACCTGCGCAATTGTGAAGGTCTGTATGTGTGTAAATTGCTGTCATTGCTTTGACCCATAGCTGGTATTATTCATTTAATCAATAAATATTAATAGAGTCCCAACAAAGTTGGCAGTGCCAATGTTCTAGGCACTTGAGGCACATCTGAAAACAAAACAATGAACACTGTCTCTTGGAACTCATACATTACTGGAGGAAGCAGGTGGCAAAATATATATACAACACATTAATTATACAATATATGTGAAAGTGATAAGTGCTTTGGGAGAAACAGGGAAAGGGTGAGTGGCAGCTCTACCAGGCTGAAACTTTAAATAAGTGCTCAAACAGCCTCTGGAAAAGTGCTATTTGCATGAAGATTTCAGGAAGATGACAGAGTTTTCCAATAGCTCTATAAAGGAAGAATATTCTAGAAGAAAGCCAGTGCAAAGATTCCAAGGTGGCAGAATGCATTTTCTGTTTGTTGAATATTATGGAGGTCAGTGTGCTTGGAAAGAAAGTGGGAAGAAATGAGGCGAGAGAGGCAATGGAAATGAGATCATGCAGGTCCCTACCGTGATGGAGATTCTAGTATTTACTCTGGATGGAGTTGACATCCACTATAGAGCTTCCAGGAAATGGTCCTCTGTGATGATATTAAATCAGGGTGGTGTGTGTGGTAAGTGGAAAATAAGGGAGATGCTCCAGAGAGCACAGGAGAGATGACTACAGAAGCTATGGAGGTGCTGAGGCACATTTGAGTTGGTTATGAGGAGAAAAGCAAGAGGGTTCCCATGTCAGATGTGAGAGAAGTGGGGGTCAATGATCTTTCCAAAATTTTTAGAGTGAGAATTCAAAAAATCAGGGCTTCTATCAACTGAGACAGAAGACTATCAGAAGAATGTATGGGAAAAGACCAAGAACTCATACTCAAACATGCTGAGGTCCACAGGAGACATATTTATCCATTTATTTATTAAAATATTTCTTTTTTTTTAATTTTTAAAATTTATTTAATAACCACATAATTAGAGAAAGCGTTTTATTACAACAGCATTGGCATAGTCAGTAACAGTTTCCAGAGCTAAGATGTATCTCTTTCAAAATTAGCTGTAATTTTTATGTTCACAGTGTTAAATTATACAGTTATACATTATTGTACTCAGTATAAACCTGTAAGACATAAAATTGAGGCTTTAACTTTTTAAAAGAATTTTTACAAAAACTTTATTGAGAATGTCATACATGCATATAGGTGTTTTGATCAAATCCATGCCCACTCCCTCGCCTCCAACATTCCCCCCCTCTGAAGAGGTAACTCTAAACTCTGTTAAGGATTATACAAGCTCCCAAATACTTTTGATGATTTTGGCCTTTGGAACAGAGTATGTTGCTAACAGGCCCAAGGACATTTTGACTTTTAGCCAAGAAACTGGCTACATTTCTTTGAGGTCTTTTTACCCTAACTGCCTAGCCAATTCCTACTTCCTATTCTTATCACACTACCCTCTGAAGAGGTTACTCAAATTGCCAATAGCGAATCAGGACACAGACTGCTCTGGCTTTTTCCATACTGAATAAGGATGCAGAGTGAGATAATTGGAATACCCCTTCAGTGGGTCTATGTGAAAGACTCCCAAAATGCATAACTCTTATCTCTAGGAGGAAAAGGAAGTCTTGTATCATGAATAGGAGATGTGAAGGAGAAGTAAAGGTAAGAGTAATTAGCATTACAACTTCTGGAGAGGGAA